AATCTATGGCACTAGGTAATTTAATGATTTCAAAGCAAATTTTGTTCAAGCAACTACTATGTAAATAGTGTTTTTTCCCCTGTTTGGGAATCGAGTTATGTGGAGTGCCTTTCCAGTTCCACTTATGAAAGAAACAAAATAATAACTACTACTGGCCATTCAATTTCCAATTCAGTATTTAGCATATTTCTGTCTTATTTTTTTCTATGTATTAAACATATTTCTAGTGAATATACACAATAAAAAAAATTCCCAGTGCAATATTAGTTTAGAACAGATCGACGACGTGTTTATTGAAAGAGTAAATCTCTCGTACACTTTATCTTTAAAAAGATATGTAATTTGAAAAACATAAAATGTAAAAATAACAAATTTTGGGTTTTGTTGGTACATTTGCTTTTAAGTTCGCAATTGGAATGCAGCCTCTGTATAAATGTAGAAACAAAACCCAATAAACACAATTTGACCAAGTTGGAGGTCAAAATCAAGTTGTTCCAGTATACCGATATCAGGGGCAAGAACAAGTTTTAAGGCAAGTAGATTTCCACTGGACTCCCAACCCGATAATAAATATATTATATATCCTCCTTAATTAATGATTATGATTCATCTAATATTTTAAAAATTAAAAGATATTTTATTTAAAAATAAATAAACCCCAATTTAAAAAGATAATATCTTCTATTAAGACATTCAATGAAGTAGCATAAGTCCTTTTGAAAAAAATTATTTAAGAATAAATAAAACTCTTTTATTCTAAGAACAAGTAAAAAAAAAAATTTGGTTAATAACTAACCAATTTTCTAATTATTATCTCTTTTCTTTTAATTTGAATATAATTAATAATATTAATTCGAACATAAAATAAATAATAATAAAAAATTTATTTTTTAAATAAACTACTAAATTTTAATCTATTATATATATATATAATATGAAATTAATGAGTAAATTCCTACTTTAATATATGAAATATGTAACTTGACTATAGTTAATTCTTTAAATTTTAGTCAGTATAACTAACAATTGTCAATCATATTAGTTTCTGCAGTTAAAAGATATTAAAATTGAGTAAAAGAAATATAATTTATCACCTTAAGTGACATGTGTCAGTGACACAACAATATTGTTTTGAAATCTTTCAAAAATAAATTAATTTCATCCTTAAATTTTAATCTAATTATATATATATATATATAATATGAAATTAATGAGTAAATTCCTACTTTAATATATGAAATATGTAACTTGACTATAGTTAATTCTTTAAATTTTAGTCAGTATAACTAACAATTGTCAATCATATTAGTTTCTGCAGTTAAAAGATATTAAAATTGAGTAAAAGAAATATAATTTATCACCTTAAGTGACATGTGTCAGTGACACAACAATATTGTTTTGAAATCTTTCAAAAATAAATTAATTTCATCCTTAAATTTTAATCTAATTATATATATATATATATAATATGAAATTAATGAGTAAATTCCTACTTTAATATATGAAATATGTAACTTGACTATAGTTAATTCTTTAAATTTTAGTCAGTATAACTAACAATTGTCAATCATATTAGTTTCTGCAGTTAAAAGATATTAAAATTGAGTAAAAGAAATATAATTTATCACCTTAAGTGACATGTGTCAGTGACACAACAATATTGTTTTGAAATCTTTCAAAAATAAATTAATTTCATCCTTAAATTTTAATATTTATGGGCAATAAAGTCTCTCTTTGTCTTTTACTTTTCCTTCTTCCATGATATCTTTTTCTTTTTTCCAATGACTGGTGCAATAGATTGTCAAATGTAAAAATAACAAAACTAACATTTTCATCAACATATTCAAGAAAAACTATCCTTTGTTAGTCTCAAAAAGGTCTTGAATTGTAAAAAATAATTGTAAGGGGTTACGAGGGTTTTACATGTGACAACTTTCATAAGAACACAATGTAAATGCACTCATTGTCGTCAATGTCCCACATATGAGACCTCTTCACTAAATTGATAACAAGTGGTTGTCCACCCACATATTTGAGGCTTGAATTTAGTTGTTCAAGTGAGAAAACTCAAAATAAAGGAGCTTTGCACTATGAATGTAACGCCCCGAATTTTGTAATATAATTGATTATTAATATAAGTGTTTGCGTTAACTTTTTTGTGTAGTGTATTTATATTTGTAGATGATTGGATGTTGGGATTGGATGAAATTTTGGCTAAGTGTTCTGATGTAGAGTGTTATCGCTGTAGTGAGAGGACCCTGGGAGAAAGGCGTGAAATTGTCGCCTTGTCGCTGTAGCGACAAAGTCACAGTGTGGACTGCATTTCTGGGTGCAGTCTTGCTGTAGCGAGATTCTGCAGAAAACAGAGTGCAGTTTTGTCTGAGTTTTTTTACTGTAGCGAGGAAGGCAGTTGCTGCAGCAAGGGGACCTCGCTGCACCGAGAATATCTTGTTGTAGCAAGAGTGTCATGACCAGAGAGGATTTAAATGGGGTTAAGGTTCGAGAAAGGTTATTTCTCACCTTCCCTTCGAAATTTCTTCGATTCTCTCGACCCAAAACCCTATCCCACCAATTAAATTGCCTCTAAAGCCGTTCGGGAGCTTGATTTAAGGTTGGATTCGTGTTGGGAACGCTTGGAGGTGAGTTTTAATGGTTAGGGTTTTTGTTTTTCATCCCCTTTCTCTGTTTCTCGGTTTCCTTGAATTCTCATGGAGTTCTTCCATGTGTTTAGGCCGAAATCCATGTGGAGAGCACTTCCGTGGTCGAATTCGAATGTGGGTCTTCAATCCAAGGTAAGGGAGGACTCTATCCTATCTCAATATGTGTGATTAGCCGTTTATTTCGTTGAATATTGTAATGTGGCTGAGTTAGAAGGTAGGAAATATGTGTTAATGGGAATGGTTGGAAAATATGATGTGGGCCATGTGCCGTGAGATGTGAATATTATGTACATGGATGAAAGAATGTGTGGTTTACCCGAAACTGATGAATGTGAATTATATAATAAATGTTGTGTAATAGAATGAGGGCATACATGTCGAGTATTATGAATGGGTATCGACACTTGTGCCATATATTTGAATGAATATTGTGAAAAAGTGTAAGCCCAGGACTGTGTAATATGAATGAATATAGACTTTGTGCCATGTATTGTAAAACGAATGTAGGCCTAGTCCTGTGTATTATGCATGACTATGGGCTTTGTGCCGTATACTGAGAACGAATATTGTAATGTATGTGAATGGGGCGTGATTAACGCTGATGTAACGTGCTATGAATAGTTCAGTGATACACTGGGGATGTGGAAGATAAGGACGTTAGAAATACCTTGGGGAAGAGAGAGTAGTGGTGATACCGATAGTAGGAGCGAGTACACCATGGGCCACACACTCTCTTCCTGACTAGACCTTTAACCACTACTTTTACTAAGCCACCCGTGACTGCCCACGTGGTATCCGTGAGGTGGAGTAATCGACGACCATTCATAGTGAAAATCTATGATCACAGTGCCACAGTGAGCGTGGCTGGCATGCAGTGAGTGCATGGGATTATTGTTCAATAATTACGTGTGTGTAAACTGTTTGGTGCCGTGAGTACATCAGAGTTGAATTAAAAGTGAATTGAGTGGTAATGTTGTCTGTGATTATATTGTGTGAAGTGTATTAGAAATAATGTAAATTATGTGCAAGGTGAGACTCTATGCTTGTTTGTATATTTGGTAGTGTAGAGTACTCACCCTTACATTCATTTTTCAGGTAATCTAGACGATCAGCATCAGACTCAGTGAAGGGTTAGATGGAATTGCTATAGGACTTAGGATATTATTTTGAAAATGTTGTATTGACATGGTCTTTTAGCAGTTAATTGATATAAACTTGTAACCCTTTCTACTATTTTGAAATATTTTGTGATGAGAATTTTATTTAAATGAAAAAGTTTATTCTCCCTATTTTGCGAAATCTATTGTTATTTTGAAAAGTAAAAATATAGATAGTTACAATGAACATCATTGTACAAGTAGTGTGAACGAAGGAAGATGTCATAGAAAAAAGATAAATATAAATGAAGAAAAACTTAATTGTTCAAAAATGTTAAAATTTAAAGATAAAAATAATATATTTCTAAAAGATTCTAAAATGACATTATTTTATTTCCCTGTCATTTAACATAACAAATTATAACTTTATTATTCAATTTTTACATCTCGTAACAATAAGGACTAAAATAATTGACGATTATTAATTTTAAGAATTAAAATTAAAATTTAAAATATAAAAAATTAAGTTGACTAATACTACATATTTCAAGAACTAAAGTTTTACTTTAAAATTAACAATAATAATTATTCTACATGTGAAAGAAAATAAAATGCTCTCTTAATTTACAAGACACTATAAAAATAACCATTATAATAATATAAAATTATAATTTGGACACAACTTTCTACTAAAAATGAAGATTTTTAAATCTTCTATAACTTTAATGTCTATTTATATCTATTTAGTTTAAAATGTGTTAATGTTTATTTAATACGACTTATTAATTTAATTGAAGAAATTAATAAGTCAAATTAAGTCCTTAAAACTTAATAAGAGAAATGACCATTTCTATTTCATTTTGTAAGTTTTTAATTATTTCTAAACAATTAGTCAATATGTTTATTTTGTGTGTACCGAAATTGTTTCTCAATATTTAAAGACTAGTATCTTTTTAAGGATATAAATCACAAAAGTAAACTTCACCTCTCCCAATAAAACCTTTTTCTTTTTTGTCATAAACATGGTTAAAAAACATATTAGTTTGCATGCCTAAAAGACCCAATTATTGTTTCCCGTATAAGTATATTATTTGCAACGAATATAGAATATTCAATGAGAACTAATGTTTCCCAGTAACAGTAAGTCATTTGAGCTGATAACCACAAGAGACAGCTACATCAAATAATTGACCTTGAAGGCCAAAGCATGAATTGCCAACGTAAATCTTAGAGAAAAAAAAGTATAAGAAAGCACTGAAAAAAAAAAAAAGAATAACATGATTCTGAAATATCGGTACAAAGACACAAGCCTTAGTGAGAATGTTAATACCTATACACAAAAATTACATTACCTTATGTTGCTTAAGCATCTTACACAAAACAGTCCCATCACAAACCATTCTGTTCATTTTTAACACCAAGAATCCATTGTGCAAGATGAGCCAGATATGGCTCTGTCTGGGAGCTACTACTCAACATTGATCCAAGACTCTGAAGCTCAGCATTAAATTCTTTCTCAAATTTGCTGAAATTGATTATTTTGGTCAGATTGCTAACATCAGTATAAAATACAATAAATAGTAAGTTTGGCAAATGTATTGTATTTGGACTTACAGAACAGAATCGGTGACTGCCACATTTCTGGTAGTTGCCTTCAGTACCTGTCCTGATTTCCGTTGTTTGGCTTTATTCAAGCCAATTGAACCATCAATAGGTTCCGCTGGACTATGTAATACGATAGAAGATGATATAAGCCACTGAGTTGCTGCTGCATATTGAAGGCACATGGATTTAAGCCTCTCCACCTTCTGCAATTGAGAACTCAATAAACATCACTCATGAGAAATCATAAACCTTTCCGATTATCATATAATATTTCAACCTGGATTTCCTTTGACCATAAAATGAAGAGTCGCCTCAAATAAAATAATCAAGAAAACATGTCACTGATTGAATTTATCAAACTTAAGTCCAGTTACATATGTAAAAATAGTAAATTTATTATATATTGGTGTGTATTATACATGTATCACCAAGTAAATAGCAAACCAAAAGGTTCATCTTGAATACACATCCACTGATTCACTATCTAGTTCCCAGATATACTTGGAAGTACATGGAGCTCTAGATATAGCTTGTGTACACAATCAATATGGATCGACTTGAAGCCTAAGCATTTTGGTAAACACTTTCCTAGAATTTCAAAGTTGTAGCTTAGTTAGATTACTAAGCTATTAAGACAAACCTCTTTCATTTCTATTTTTTTTTTTTAAATTAGAACTGAAATTGTATCTCAAATTCCTGGTTCTTGTATGACATGTTTAATTCAAGAATCATTAGAATAAGGTTTCATAGTTCGATCCATTCAATAACTTGTGTTCAGTCACCAATTTTTTAATCAAACCAGTTAGTTCATTCATTGAACTAGATGACATCATATTGATATCTTTCTCCAGCAAACAACAAAAGCCTTATCCCACTAGGTGAGGTCAGTTACGTTGAACCACTAGGTGATATTTTTTTCCAACCCAGACAAAAATTTTATATGTCTCTCCAACCTATGTTCTAACCAAGGATACTATTAATTTTTATAAATACATTTTTATTGTATTAACAATTTCAAGCTCGAGAAACGAATGTCTTACGATATAGGGGAGTTTGGCATATGCATAAGTGGGTTTCATCTCTTATGTTGAAGTGTAATGAAATGCATTGATGCGTGAATGAAACCTAGAGCACTAGCCCTTATTTATAATAATCATAATCCTAAATAATTTGGGGAAAAAGTCATGAGATAAGGAAATATGATAACCAATCCTAAGACATTAAGCGAAATAGGGAAACTAATTCTAAAGGGTAATCTGAGATACTCTAGATATGATATTTTCATATGTTCTAACATATATGTTTTTCCTTTATGCATGTCATTTTCAGTGTTTACTATGTGACCAGATCCAGTTTCTATCAAGATACCTTATGTTAAGAAGATATTTCTTTCACTCCTAAATCTTATTGTAGAAAGTGATACTTTAGTACCTTATGGGAATCAATAATAACAGTCATGAACACATGTAATATAAGACACAAGTGTCTTGCCGACAGTTATGGATAGAAGTTAGAAGCAGTAATGTATTATTAGAATACATGATAGAAAATAACTTATCCTGCATTAGCAGTTCTGTATAAGAATTAGAAACTGCCTTGATGACAGTTATTCATAGAAATAACTGATGGCAGTTATTTATTATGGTATATTTGATAGTAGGGTGTGTAATTAGGCAGAATTTGTTGAGATGCTTGCTACAGTACTCCTAAACTTGAGGAGACATTGAATATTCTCTCTAAATTATACCAAGATATTAAAGGATATTTACGTTTTTTTTTTCTTTTCAAATAAACCACTAACCTTACTCTCTATTGATATAAAATTAATGGCATACTTGTTCCACGTGTAAGAAAGCATAGAATACTCTCTTATTTTACAGAGCACCGTAGAATTTAACATTTGTTGATTGCAGTTTGTGGACAGAGAATACTCTCTGTAGGAGACTTTTAAATGTATTGCTGTATTGTATGTGATTTCTGTGTACAGCATTAAATTTTATTGGTTTATCAATTGGTGTTCTATCAGTGCCCAAAATAATTGCATAACCATCAGAGTGAAAACAGAAAATTTTATGAAAACGGTGAAACAAAGCAATGAGAAGCTAACCTTCAGTATCTCAGGTAACTGAAGTAAACATTCTCTCAAACATTTATCAAGAAAAAAATCATGATGTTGTATAACCTGTTTCAGACAGAAAATGTCAAACTTTAGTATCAAGCATCCACCACCCCACCCTCCTGGAAAAGAAAAAATATTACCCTGATACAAAACAGACAAAGACATACACTTATGTAGGCAACATAGGGTATGCATCAGTTTTGAAAATGCAAGACCACAATAACTTACCTCATCTATGCTATTTGCTGACTGAAGTCTGTTATACATCAGATGCCAATTGTGTTCAATAACCTAAAAAGAAGGTAAATAGTCATAAACCAAGGACACACCTAACTGCTCAGTTCAGGAATCAAATTTATGAAAAGAAACAAATGTGAAACACTTGTAATCAAACACTATAAACTTCAAAAACCATGATTAAAATTGTCCTTTTGCAATTTAAAATTGTCAAATAAAAAATTTCAAAACATACAAAATATGGATTCAATAATTTCAATTTAAAAGTAGGCAGACTTATATAAAATAGAATAGAAGAAAGCTAGTTCCTGTCAAATTGAAAGGTCCTCAAAAGGGTACCATAAAAGTCAAAAGGAAAATAAAACTTGCCTCAAATGTCAGATAGTGCAGAAGGCTATTGATATATTTTAGCATACTACGGCAAAGAAGAGATGATCTGGAGATAGCAGTTCCTCGTGTATTAAGAGCACGAACTCCCTGCAATATGGAACCAAAATGGAGTGAAAGGAGTAGAACACAACAGAAAGAAAAGTAGAGGAACTCAGCCATACTTGATGTATTTGCCATGCTCCACATAGCTGACGGTCAACATGTTTACAGTGGAAAAGAAATTGAAAAATTAACTGGTACTTTGTAAGGGCTTTCCGTGATAGTACTATAGACAGTGGCCAGTGCACCTGAAACAAAAAGAGAACCATTTAAATGATGCAACAATTAACACAAGGCAGACTCTCTAAGAAACTTTATAAAGGAGAAAAGACCTTATAACTTAGTGAAAATGTTTCAAGGCTGGTGATGCTAACAGGCTCCTCCAGATTGTTGTTAGCAGAATTTCTCTGACTAACGTCAAGATTATTAAATGTGCCCAACCTTTTAAGCAGAGAAGATCTTTCCTGAAAGCAAAAACGTCTGTATCATGTGAGAATACTGAAATTTATGGCCCCAATAGAGTTTCTTACAAACTGAATTAGATACTTGCCACAACACAGGTTAAGCCTTCATGAAAAGGATCTGCTGCAGCTGCTGTAGTACGCAATGCAAGGTCTAGAAGAGACTAGACAGACGAAAGAGGGGGCAGGAATAGAAAGGATAAGTACATGATAAGAATCTAGGTCCCTCTCAAAATTAAAAATAGGCAGATGCTAGGGGGAAAAATTAAATGGGAAACTCAAGGATATTTCACTACTATACCTGCAGCTTCTCAACAGAGACTTCATCAGGCTTTTTGGTCAGCTCATCTCGAGCAATATCCATAAAATGCACCAAGAAATCACCCTGTGTGATCGTGAATATTATAACACTATAAGCAAAGAAAAAGGGTATATCGGAAGTACACATTATCATTGCAAATTGATTTCTGTGAGGAAGAAGAAAATCACTCTTTGATATGCATCTATAGTCTATACAATCAAATGACCTATACATGTCAAATAGTCAAACCAGCTGAACATTTTCTTGTGGGCTCCCTTTCATGTGATCAATGGCTACGAAAGTCAGTATTCCATCAATTTGTATCATGAGTTTTCTTTGGTCAGTTCAATAAGTTTTTTCTTTAATGAATTAATTAAGCTTCTAACATGAGCAAAAATCACAAACATAACAGAAGCAAATGATTATTACGTTATGAATTTATGATCAAGAGCAATTCTTGCCGGAACAGTGTCTATGGTCAAGACTCACGAGTGCTTACAGTAATCATCATATCATCACTATCATTATCATAAGGCCATCTTTACTTTATCTACGAATATGAGAGTCAATTGGATAATCTTAGGATCTGTCCATGGCAATAAAACAGAATACTTGATTCTTGATTATCCCAGCTTAGTTTGTTCTTCCTTTTCCATCTTAATTCTCTCCTTTTTTTTTTTTCTAGTCAACAAAAATTCTTATATCATAGCAGCGTCCCCATCAAAAGTTTAAATCCATCTTATTACATAATTTCATGATCAGAATAGCAGACTTAATTTGTTCAGAATACTCAAGCACAGGCAACAGACATTACATTTGCATTTCGAACTGTGTTAGTCATTTTATTTCCTTCAAACCATCGTATGCATTCAAATTACAAATAGGATAATCTCATCTAACATCTCTAAACTTGCCATACGGATTACGGAGGAAGAAAGAGTGAATACTCCAGTAGCACTTCAGTGGCATTTGCTTTTCCTTTTTTTTTTTTCATTTTGAATAAATTTTTTAATTAATAATTACAAAAAAAATGCCACCTAGTTCCTTGTTTTCACTTTGTTGCATTGCATGTTTTCAAGAATTTGCAAAGAAAAAGTAAAATGTGTCATTTTTGTAACTAATAGTGGAAACATATCAATTGAAAATAAAACTAAAAACACAATTAAATTTTGGTCTCTGTCCAGTTTTAGTTTTGCCATCATTGCTAGTCAGTGACTCCAAAATTGAACAGTGTAAGATGATCATGATCGTACCTGATCAAGAAGAAGGTAGTGTTTTATAGAACGCAGCCTTCCTGTTAGATCATACTAAACAAACATAATTCACCATTAGAAGTTGGATTGTTGACGATAACCATTGCAGAAGCATTAGAATGTAAGCCAAGATTCTTATCACCTGATTTACAACCCACCTTTTCCTTAATGAGGTTCAAAAGTTCACCACTTGCAAAGTTATAAGCAGCCTTAATACATTCAAGATACTGATGATTTGAGCCAAAGCTCATTAGTTTTGAATTTTCTAATGGAGGGACCTAAAGTAACAAGTAATTACATTCAGTGAAGCAACCACATTTAAAACAATAGAATATTTTATAAGCAACCTCCAATGTGAAGGGTTAAGGATAAGATTTATTCTAGAGGCAGTGACAAACCTGAACATTGTGCCCACATTCTCTCATAACATTTAGATATTTTCCTGTTGTCAAAATTGTCCCTGCAATATTTGCAAGGAAACTAGGAATTCCATCTTTGAGACTATAACGTTGTCGCCAATACTTAGCATCATAATCTTGAGTAAGACTCTCCTATAGAGAATTCAAAACTAAGATCGTATGAAAACACATTTTGATATTAATTTTGGACTGTTATAAGTGATAAAATATTTTGATCTACCTTTTGAAGAGTTTTGTCCTCTGCAATGAAAAATTCACCATAAGGATCATCTATTACGCCTTCATAAACCCATCTTCAGTATTCAATTCCCAAATGGACAAGAAAGTGAAATGCTAAACAGGTCAACTAAAGCTTAATAATGAGCCAACACAAGACAATGATAAATTCTTGGTAAAAGAGCTAATATTTTTTAAATTGCTTCAAAGGCCATGTTTAAAACACACTTGCCAACTGATGTTCATTTATCTAGAAAAGTCTACATCATATTCATAACATAATTAGTATAATTGAATGATAGAAGAAAATGCCATTGCAAAAATGCAAAAGTGGAGATTTTATAGTGGGAGAATGGGATTAGAGTGATGGAAACAATGTTCAAAGACCTCCTATTTGGAATGTTTATTTCAGAAGAAAACATGCATAATGAATAGCAGTTATGCTTTGTAGTATTTAATTTAGGATTAGGGTGTAAGTGGGCAGTTATGGTGTTGAATCTGTAAGTTTCAGAACAGATAAATATTCACAATAGAAGATGTGAGTCTCTGGGACAGTAGATTCATTGCTGTAGCATGCAGTCTGTGTTTCAATAATTATTTCCAACTAAATTCTGTGTGATTTTCTGGTGTTTTTTGGGTGCGTCAGATATCAGAATTAACCAAGCTATCTCTATGATTAGTCAAAACAAACAATAGATCATAAAGCGCTTGAAAAAGGAAACTTGGATATTATGTCCCCATAGTCATTTATTGATGATCTGAACCCAACAGGCAATGAAAAGGGTTTTAAATATTAACAGTGAGCTTCATGCAACAACCAAACAGCACAATAAATAAACATTAATTTAACTACCTATGTGGCTTTTCTACAAACTAATGATCAGATCACGGTACTTGGATTAACTATTCATTTTTTTCCCCACAAGGGACCATAAAGAAGTTGTGAGAGGATGGGGAAAAGATTGGATAAGTGAACATGGTTAAGGCTTTGATGAGGATTAGGAGAATGTCTAGATGGAGGGAATGGGAGGAGAAAGGAAGCTTCATTTCATTTGAGGGTTTTGAGAAATGAGGGAAAGAAAATGAAGGCCTTTCAAGCGATCCTCTAATGCCCTTGCCATTTTGATGTTCTTTCTAATTATGAGATATTTTCAACATCTAAACAAAAGGAAGGAGAATAATTACTTAAACCCCTCATTCTCTCATCATTTTCTCCTTTAATTTCTTTTGTTCTTTTTTCCTAAAATCCAAATATACCAAAAACTCAAAGGATATGGAACTGGAATCAAGTGCTTCCATGGAAGCTGGGTGCCTGACTAATTTGATCAAGAAAAGGAAAAAATATAAACAAGTTCACAATTCATTTGAGAAAATGGATAAAAGTATAATTATAAATTCATAATTAGAATTGAAAATTTTGTAATTAAAGAGAACATCCTATGCATTTGCTTGTCAAGGATGAAGAGCATTTTGGAAGGAGAAAAGAACCTTTCTAATATGCTCATGTAAGCACTACTTGCACATTGTGTCATTTTCTCCAGCAACAACCTGACAGCATTATCTCCAGCCATAGCCTTTGCCTAGATACAACAGGAGATATATAGGAGATAATTAAATGCTCAAGAAACTGATTTATGAAACTTTGAAGAATTATTTTAACATATACAGAAAATGGTAGCAATGGTAATTTCATTACCTGGCTCTGCAGTAAGTTAAGAACAGCAGAACCAGAAAAATTGTTGACTGAAGCCTTCTGTATGACAGTGGATAATGCTTGCATTGACCTCATCATGGGCTGAAACACATCATTGAAAGAAGCATCAGAAAGAATTTATCAAATATTTACATTTAACAAAAGAGTTAAGACAAATCCACACCTGACAGTAGAACCACAATCCTTGAAGAGAAAGTCTCCCAAGCCGAAATTGGTGTTCAAGCTGTGCCACCATGGCTTGGTAATCCTAGTAAAGATAATCCCATGATGATAAGAGTAGGTTCTAATTCAAACTTTATATTTTAATCAAAGTGATATGACATGGATCTATGCAGAACAGAAACTGCAGGGAACATGAATTGTTACTTCATTTCACTAATTATTGTCTAGTACAATCAATTTAGTTTGCTCACTCTAGTCATCTGCAAGTCAGATCATTGCAAAGCTATTGCATAAAATTCCAACTAAAGAAGAACAAAAATGTACAGAGTGTGATGACTCAAACTTAAGGTGCCTTGTACCTTGGAAGTCACAGATTCAAATCCAGGAAGCAGCCTCTCTGCTTGCCAGGATAAGAATCTGTATGCATCTACCTTCCATAGTCCCCATATGAAAAATATTCAGATCTAATAACATATTAAAATCACTGAAATAGACTGAACAACACAAGAAGTGTGTAAAACATATGTACATACATACATAGGAATAAACAAACATTTCATGCAGAATGTAATAGACCAACTGACTCACTGTTGAGGAAAACCTACGAGAAGAAGTGCTCTCAGTGCAGCAGAAAAGGCATGATTAACCAGACCATTCTGGAACTGAGACCTTGACTCCACAAACTGGTTGATCAACAGAAAGCTCTTACAAAGAGGGAATATCCGTTTTGACAACTCCTGCAACATATTAATTGACTCGGCCAATTACATAGACTAGCATTGCATTATATGCCATTATATTGTCCACAATCTGAAAGTATGCTGTTATAGAATAAGTCAATCATACATTCTCCATCAACTTACTGCTTTGTGTCTTTGTTGCCATTAAACAATGGCCTATATAAAACATTATTGCATAAAAAAAATTGAACTTGCTAAGGTTCAATTTTCAGTAAAAAAAGCATTGCATTATTTGAATTGTAAGATAAATGACAAATTTCAGTGAAAAAGCATTGCATTATTTGAAACACAAGATAGATGACAGATTTCAGTGAAAATGCATTGGATTATTTGAATTACAAGATAGATGACAGATTTCAGTGAGAATGCATTGCATTATTTGAATCTAAGATAGACGCTTCATGCTCCATAATAACTTTTATGAATATTGACAGAAAAACCTAGAGAGGAGAAATAAATCTTTCACCTTGATGTGGAGAGTTAGATTATGATACTGCATATATTGTCATATCACACCCAAGAAAATTTGTGTTAAAAGCATTTCTATTTCTGACTTCGGTTGGTTTGCAGATTGCCAACTTAATATTCTATCATAAATATCACCATAAAGCAAAATGTGGAGGTTTAACACCTCTAATGTAATAATTGCAGCTCAGAATACTGTAACAAAGTAACAAACATTATAAATCACACCTGCAGGGCCAAATCCATAGATGGGTCAACCAGGAAAGTAATATCATCATTCTTTCCACGAACTTTTTTGATGATGTAACGTCCTTCAATGCCAACCATGGCTGAGATCACATCGTCAATAACAATAAGCTCCTACATTTCAGGAGAACAAATTAATAGATGAACCTTTAAAGCTTATGTAGTAGATATCAACAGTACTTAAAAGCAAAAACTTCCACAAAGGGGAATATGTATACAATAATTCACATATAATACACACACACACACAAAAAAAAAAAAAAGCAAGACGCATGGCATGTCAAGTTTGGCTTACTTAACTTGTACAGACAAACAGCTTTTCAGTTTTTCAGTCGAAACTTCACTCAACGGTACATTTTGATTAGAAGCTTTTACAAACACAAAATAAACGAATCCAAAACACGCATTACATAACGAACAAGTGCACATGAAGTCCTTTGACAATTCATTCTCAATAGCTTATCTAGCAGTCTTAGATACCAACACGAAAAAAAAAAGAACAATTGAATAAATTCCATCCCTTAGCACAACAAATAACACATTTTCTGAATTCCCAGCACTACAGATACATTTCTTTAAAAACAAATAAGTACGCATACATTTCCAGTAGAAGTTAGTTTTCTTCTTATAATTATTTCCCTCCCATAAATCTTAGGTCAAAATTGTTCCCAGCAAAAGGCAATTACCCTACTCAACAACCAGAAACACCCAACCAAACGAACTCACGCAACTAGCACATTCCGAGGAACAAAACCTAATGCCATAATTCAAAGCAACGAAGCACAGAAAATGAGAACAAATTAAAAGGTTTTATTAGTGGATCGAACAATGCTTCCTTCTTAAACAGTCAATTGGAGTCGCTTAGTAACGAATATCAAAACAAATAAGAGAATTAGAGCAATTAAACAGCGCATAGAGAGGGAGAGAGAGACTTGAACTGCGGGAGCGTAACAACCAATTGGTTTATCAAAACCCGCGTTGGTTTGGTTCATCTTGAAAACTGAGCGCAGATCGAGAAAGAAAAGGTGTGAAGAAGAGAGTAAAGAGTGTGAAATGTTTAAAAGGAAGGGAGAAGAACAGAGGATCTTTCAAAATGGGGAAAGAGGCTATTGAATGGCTTTTTATATTTACGGGCTTCTTTCTTCCCTCCTGTATTTTTGAATTCAGAAATTGTATTTTTTGCATTTAAATTTTGTCAAAAAGTTATACAATAAAAGAGAGATAAAATAATTAAAGATATAAATGAAAAGAAAATATTGTTGTAAGTAATATTGTATGAATAATATATAATTATTTTGAATTTTGCATGCAAAGGTTTCTTTTCTCGAATTTGATTATAAGTACTTGCTTAAAAAAAATTATATTTTAAATAATCACTTATTTTTAAAATGTTGTGTGCATTTGTTTTTCTTTATTTTGATATTTATCTTTTTTATTTTAAAAAATAAATGATTGTATATTTTTATTTTATTTCTTAAAATAAGTTCTTTCAAACAAAGTTGATAAATACACTGATAAGACGAGAATATGAACTCTGTTATTTTCTATATTCAATCCAAAAACAGTTGCACTATTTATATACTCTTATGCATCAGTGCACATAGCCATCAAACCAACTGATACAATACAACTAACAGCTATATTATGACTGTTTAACCATTATTCTTATCGTATAGTCTCTATAAACGATCTTTTACTTATTCTTAAGACCATATTTATATGTTTAGAATAATTTTTACCGCTTCAACAAATAGTGTCGATTTTCTTAAGGGTGATACTTATTTAAAAAAAAATAGATATATTAAAGTATGTTTTAAAAACAGTTTTTAATTTTTAAAAATAAAATATAATACAAAATTATATTACATTTTATTTTTAAAAACAGAAAATTATTTTTAAAATAAAAAGCAAACATATTCTAAATTTATGTACCGTAGAAAAATACACATTGTCCCTACGCTAAGTAACTGTAACTGCACTGCACAGTGTGGTTAGAATGTTGTTATGTGGTAACTTGAGACAAGTTCCCCTAGAAATGGACGAGACTTGTCCCAATAACATCTCCTTTTTATCTAACAAATAAATTTTGTCCATTTCCAAGAGAATTTGTCTGAAGCTACCACATAACAACATTCTAACTACATTGTGCAGTGCAGTTACAATTACTTAGCGTAGGGACATAAAATAATTAATAATTAACTTCTAGGTTAAAAAAAATTAATCCCATAAAATAACAAATATAAAATTTTATCTAAACCAAAAATAATTAAAACTCATAATAAATAAATAACATAAAATAAAAAATCTAACTAACCTTAACATCAGTTTCCCAAAATTATTTTTTCTTCGATAGCGCAAAGTACTTATATGTATATATAGTAGTGAAGTTTCATGAATTTTTGAATGCATTCAATTAATAATCATCAGTTATTGTTCAAGATCAGCTGATACACCTCTGCAATTGACACGTGTCAATCATTCACGTGTATTGTTGTCTACCAACTGATAAAGTTGACACTATTTGACCTTTAAGATTAACTGCTTTCGACATGTGTCAATTTTCAAACCAGTTTCAATTGGTAGCAAACAATAGTGTATTAAAAAAAATAAAAAAATACACTATTGAATATGTAGGTACGACACAACTAGCGACCTAAACTAAAATTTGCACTAGATTGAGAATTTGTTTTAAAAAATACTTATTTTGAGAATTTGTTTTTAAAATAATATTATTTAAATAAATTCGTCTCCTCTATCCCTCATTCATCCCTGTCGTGGCAAAGAAGTGATTATTTCTCAAAGCTTCCGAGGAATTGGAGAACGCAATTGCCGTGAGAATTACTCCAACAATCGTTGACGAGCATCGTTGCTATGAAAACACCAATGTGAATTATTACGATCACCGTCACCACACACGTGTCGCCTCGCCGACGCCGTTGAGATTTCATCAACGGAATCCTCTGGTCTTGGGGGTAATCCTCTACCGCAGAGCGTTTGAGGTTTGAGGATTACTAGGTTTAGGGATTGCAATTAGAAGTGTTCCTTAATGATTTCACGTAGAAAAGTTCTATCGATATATTTAATTAGTTTGCAGAAATTAAAGGCATTAATACACTGTGAATGACATAATCAGTAGTCTCAATTTTATATATTGATTTAAGTGCAAACTACTACATATGATGCAGCTATCAAGATAACATTATAAGACTAATCTCAATTACTAAACACAAGAATAATTATATTTTGTTTTTGTCTTTCATGCCTTTTCTGTGTGCCCAATAGTTCTTGATTTATTGTACCCTAATTTGCAAATATATTAAATTATTTAAGTACAATTAAAATAATCAAAGTTCAATTAAATTATATATTAAAGATATTAAAAATAATAAAGTTCAATTAAGATATGTCAACCACTATATTTACTAATAATTCATGTTCCGTTAACAAACAGTAACAAAAAATTAATATATCATGTTAAATGTCATGTTAAAAGTCCAGTTAGTAGAAACGATGTTATTTTGAAGGATTGGGAAAGTGAACGTGGCAAATTAGTCCCAATTATAAAAAATGGCATCGTTCTAAGAAAATTTGAAAGTGCCCAACATATAATTTTGCATCACTCACCACCAGCAGCAGACCCTTTCCGATTTAATCATCCAATTCCGTTTCTGAATCAGTATTGGCAAATTGCATTGGGTGTTTTACGTTGTCAATATTGACATATGGTGGTTTCCTCGGTCACTGATAGGTTTGATCTAGCACTTATTTGGACAAGCTCAAATCTTAGAGATACCCTTTGGAGAAAGGGGAGTTTCTTGGGTGGAATCTACGTTTAGGGTTTGGTGGGTATGAAGTAGGCATTGGCGTGAGGATAAATTTGCAAGTCAGAGTTACAAGATTTTGAGTATATGGGTTCGAATATGTGGAAGAGTAAGGTTCAAAAGGTGGGCATGAGTGGATTAGGATCTGTGTCAGGGTTTGGGTTATCAAGGTCTAGAATAAAGTTGGGGATGATCATGGCAACCACATCGGTATTACTGTGGACTTGCATCATTCAATTAACAACTTTGGGTAACATATGGGGTTCTAGAGTATTAAAATGTTGACCTTCTTGTTTTTCTCATGAATTTGCTCTTAGAGTAATGGATATTGAGTTACTTTCTCTTCGTCTACCTCTTTTATCTTCTAAGAGTTAGTACTTTGTTCTTTCTATTTTTGTTTTCAAACGACTTTATTGGTTACCAATTTTTAGTTATTTTACTCCTTCAATGTTTGTCAAGAGCTTATAAGAACAATGGGTACTTTATGGTCTCTTGGAACAAAGGATTGAACCAAATGAGAGTAGTTGTGAGTGGCTAATGCGTGTTTGTGCTTTTATTTTAGTTGGTGTATTACTCAATAGAAGAAAGGAAAAAATCCTAACAATGGAAGGAAAAAATCCCAATAGTAGAAGAAAGGAAGAAGCCCTAACAATGGAAACGCCGTTGCTGACAACTACTTCTAATATGACATTTAACGTGACATGTCAGCTCTTTGTTACTATTTGTTAACAAATTATGAGTTTAGAGACTATAATGAACAACGGAAATAAAAGTCAGAACTAAAGTGACATTTTCAAATTTTAATAAGACTAAAATGACAAATGCAAACTTTCTCAAAAACTAAAATAAGGGCTTAGTCTATTAAATAATATATTTAATTCATTAAAGTTAAATATATATCACTTATGTACATATTAATTAATCTTGTTGTTGCAAACCATAGAGAAAATTAGAGTACTAATTCTCCTTGATTAAAATATTGAGTCAAAGTCACCTTCAATATCAATATCATTTTCATTATTGTCATAAATTTCACCCTGATCAAATTATCATCCTTTCTTTCTAATATATCTAATAAATTATAATCAAGATTATTATCATTTAATAAATTAACATCTTTAATAGAGAAACCTGAAAATATAATTAACAAAATTTTGTAACATCAAACAATTGAAATACATTAACAATTCGGTTATTCAAATAAAATAATTTAACTAAATGAAAACAAATAACAAACTAGCACAATAATATTTTATCACGTTAACTAAAACTAAAAAAAAAAAAAAAACCTATGATTAAAATAATTATAATAACAATTACAACCAAAATAAATTTAACCAAAAATCAGTTACAAAAATAGCTCAAATAAATTTTAGTAACAAAAAAAAAAAACAACTTAAAATTGCAGAAAAAAAAAGGTAAAAGAAAGGGGTATATATATAAACTTTAACAACCGCTCTAAACTGAGCAAGACTTATCCAAGTCTTGTGACACTTATCCAAGTCTTGTGACACTTATCCATAGTGAAGAGGCATGACTAAAATAAAGACGTGTGACAAAATCTCTCAAAATAGCGACGCTCACCAAGGAGCAACGTATTTTAAAGTGACACGTGTTAATACTTGAATGAGTGAAACCTTTTCAGGAGAAAAAATAGGCCATCCCTGTCATACCAGAGTCACCCTCTTTATCATATCAAATCTTCCTCGAGTGACACGTGTTAAATGTGAATTTTACTGTTTTTACTTACACCGTTTATTTTGATACTATAATAAATTGTTTAGCAACTATCGTGATATGATAATTTGTTTTTAATTTTTGTGAAAACTCTAAAAAAAATGATGACAGCGAGCAAATATGCTGAGTGGGTTCCTACTTGTCACGCACTTTGCTTGCAAGCAGCACCAGCGATTAAAGGAAGAGTGAGAGCGATATTCACATTTCTGTGTGTTCTCCATAGCGTTGACCTTAATTTCTTTCATCAAATCAATACTCAAACAACGTTTTCTTCATCTTCATCTTCGGATCCTCCATGGATTAAATACATTCATCAATCAATGAATTCTTCTTCAATTTCGAATCCTCAATGGGTCTACGATGTGTTCATCAACTTCAGAGAGGGCCATGGCGATGGCTTGGGCAGGTTCGTTTCTCAACTCTACAGTACCCTCTCAAATGCGCGAGTCAACACTTTCATGGATGAAGATGAAGGGCTTCGCAAGCGAAGGGAGGTGGGAAAAGAACTAACGCAAGCAATAGAAGGGTCTCAAA